CCCCCGCCTCCCCCAAGGGTGGCGTTGAAAAATTTTCCGTTCCTTAGGGGGGCGGCAGCTTCAAAAAGGTTGAGAATCACTGGTCTACGTGATGACCCTTTTTTACCTGAACTGGAGGCAGAGTGGATCTTTCTGCTGCTCCACCAGAAAAAGGAGACCTCTGAACAAGGACCACTGACATTGTACCATCCCCTGTGAGGCAGACAAAGGGGATGGAAGGAGAAAATATTGTTAACAATTCTTGGAGTGACATTATATAATATTGCATCCAGATTCAAGCTAATCTGGACAAACCAAATCCTGAAGATGAGAGAAGAGAGCTGGGAATTGCTGGGGGGGGATCATCCCTTACCTGGTGAGATGTCCTCAAGATGATCCTCCTGGGAGATTGCCCTGAAGAACACCCCTTGAGAGTGATCTAATAGATCTTCCCTTGTATTTGGACTTTGTGGATCCACCTCAGTAGAACTTCCCTGCACATGAAGACCAGCAAGGAAGAACATGGGAAAGGGGACATTCTTGTCTTCCACCAGGAATCCACCCCAGCATCCATCAGTGGAAATGGAAGACGTTTTCCACTTCACACCTGCCACAGGAAAATGTCTTCAAGAGCTACTAAAATCTCTTCATATTTGCAGTCCCCAAAATCCTGCTACGGAGCCATTCATAGTGAAACATTATCTCACCTCCTCTTCTTTGCCTTCTGCCTGGCTCAGAAGGAAGCCTTCGGCGAGGGCCACCGCCTGGGAAGTGGTCTCCGCTCCACACTCCCGCACCCATTTCTCCATCTCTGTGGGCAGAACAGCCAGGAACTGCTCCAGGAGCACCAGGTCCAGCATCTGAGCCTTTGTATTTCTTTCTGGCTTCAGCCACTGATGGCAAAGGTGGTGGAGGTGGCTGCAGACTCCTCGGGGTCCCTCTGGCTCCTGGTAGCAGAATCCCGTGAACTGCTGCTGCTTGGCCTCCCAAGTGAGGTTGCCTTCTTCCAGGAACTTCTGCCTGGTCCTTTGGTCAAATTCTTCCCAGGTCTCAACCTGATCGTGACGAGGGCCTTTTCCTGCTGGGTCTCTTGACCCCATCTTCTCTCTTCTCCCCAGAAGATGCAAAGACTTTGATGGGATCTCCTGGATCTCTAAAGGTCCAGGACCAGGACACTGGAGGACCAGAATCTGTGGAAAGAGTTGAGGGTCCTCATCAAGGCCCATTTTGATGAGGATGGAGCCCCCTTTTCCCCCCTCCTTAAAGAAAGGCTTCCTCAGTCCCTCCCTCCTTCTTACCTGCCCTTGCAAGGCTAGAATTGGGCGGTGATGGGGAGTTTGGCTGGTGGGTCTCAGTTCAAAGGGAGCTCAGGGTACAACTTCCAAGGGAGGGAGGAAGCGGGGGTCCCACCAGTTCCCCTTCCAAAGACTTCTTTGCTTGCCCCCCAAATGCCCAGGCCAGAAATGGCTCTCCTGCAGCTCCAGTTTCCCCCCAGAAGCCCCCAGACCCCCAAGCAAGGGAGGGGGAGGGCTTCTCCGGACCAGCCCCTCCCCTCCCAGGACTGCAGATAGTGTCCTTCTCCCGAGGAAAGAGAAGGGGTTTCCTTTGCAGCAAGGGGGGGTGCCTTTCTTGCGGTCCAGACCCCAAATGCACATTCAACGCAAACCTCAGAAAGGTCCGGACTGCGTCCGGCTTCTTTCCCACGGGCACAGCTTCGCTTTTCCTTGCAGACCCTCTTCTGGAGGTCTCACCTGGCCCCCCTCCCCCCGGACGCTCATAACGGTTTCGGCTTAACAGTCGGGGCGCTCGCTGGCATCGGCTTCCCCGGCCAGCCAGGCTCCCTCGGAGGCGCTGCAGGGAAGAACCGCTCCGGGGCCACCGCGGCACCAAACGGCCGCGCCGGCAGTGGCCACCTCAGCAG